TACAAATCAAGGACACAAAACTCAAATGTAAAATTGGTCGCTTTTAAGGACAAGTGGGTTAACCCGGTTTTTGGGGGTTTCCAGAAATCTCGACCTACACCAAAAGAAGGCATTGCCCTACCTACAGGAGAAGTTTGGTTTCATTGGTGTGTGTATTTGTTTGGTTATAGAGAAAACTATCCGTGTCCTTTAAAGAAACTGAATAAGGATCCAAAAACTTTACCTTCGATTTTCTCAAAACATCGTTTTTCGGGATAGCCTCCTAGTTCTTAAAAGCGACCAAGTGCAGTTTACACGGATACTGAAGCTTAAGTAGTCGCCAATATTTAACGGCAATATTTTGTCGGTAATCTTACTCCAAACACCAGTCGAAGCCCACCTCCTTTAATCTCAAATATGTAGACTCTTATTTAAGACATAATCAGATGGATCGTTTGGTATTTTTTCACCAAAAGCAAGACAACTAAAAAGGAGTTCATATTACACCAATTACTCTACACTCCCAAAACTTGACGAGCGCATGATTCCACCGCGTTGTGACATAAGCGTGCGTTTCCCATCACTTTTGTTTTGGGAGATTTTTTATTTTTGTTTTCGTTTTTAGTTTTGTTTTTCTCTGAGGCGGTCATCTCTCCTGCCGCTCGCATCTTTACCCGGGTCTCAAGCGGTATTCGTCTGGTAATGGTCCAGGCAACTGGTTCAGGCAAGTGCTTACACAGGTCTCAAGGAAGGTGAAAGTTTGTCTATTTGTCTGTCTTTTTGTCTGTCTGAACGCGTGGGTTTCAGGGTGTCTGTATCTGACGGTTGTCTGAATAAATGGTGTAAGTAGATTTCTCTCCCTCCTTCCTTCTTTTTCTTTCTCTCTTTCTCTCTCTTTGTCTCTCTCACTCTCTTTCTCTCTCTCTCCCGCCTCTGTCAGTCTTAGAGAGAAAGAGGATATAGGTAAAACAAAGAGAGAGAGATAGGGAGAGAGAGAGAGAGAGAGAGATATAGGGAGAGTGAGAGAGGAGAGAGAGGATAGAGGAGAACAAATGAGAAAAGAAAGAGAGAGAGACAGAGAAACAAAGAGAGAGAGAGAGAAGGAATAAGAGAGAAGGGATCCTCCCCCCCCCCCCTTCCGCCACCCAGACACCCATCTGCAACAGGACTGTGCGGTGTAGGAAACAGCCTGACCAACTATCAGAACAGAGAAGTTGGATAAGACGGGACTGTGTCGTGACTGTATCGGGACGTTGATGGGACGATGACGGGAAGATGACGGGACTGTGTCGGGACGATGACGGGAGTGTGTCGGAACTGTGTCTGGACTGTATCGGGACGATGACGGGACAATGACGGGAAGATGACGGGACTGTGTGGGGACGATGACGGGAGTGTGTCGGGAGTGTGTCGGGACTGTGTCGTGACTGTATCTGGAGGATGACGGGACGATGAGGGAAGATGACGGGACTGTGTCGGGACGATGACGGGAGTGTGTCGGGACTGTGTCGGGACTGTTTTTGGACTGTATCGGGACGATGACGGGACGATGACGGTACGATGACGGGAGTTTGTCGGGACTGTGTCGGGACTGTGTCGGGACGATCTCGAGGTGACGTCAAGTCACCTTCAACTCTTGGGCACAGTGTGGACTTATACCAAAGATCGTACATAACAACATCCCTCTCTTTGAGCCAATTAAAAAAGTGTCCTCAAAATTCGGTGGTGCCCTCTTTGAAAAAGTGCAGACTTTGCGATCAGAGTCACTCTTCTTGTGTGAAAAGCTATTAAAGTGAAACTAACAGACTGTGTTATTCCTACTTTTCTTCTGGAGAAGCGAAAGAGAGATTTAAAACAAAGGCTGTATCACCATCTGAACCAATGAGCGGACTTCCGCGGACACTTTCTTGGCGGAGTGGACTATCTTGTTATGTACGATCTTTGCTTATATCAAACTGGGGACGATTGCTTATTGTCTTGTCCTCCACGCTTTTGGGTAAAATCCACAAAACGATGAGCTTTTTATAAGTGTTAGACGAACTTTTTTACTGGTCATTGATAGATTGTGATATAACATCTGATGCCAAATGTTCAACAGAGATAAAACGGAGCATTGCAATGGCTGTCGCTAGCTTCAATAAAATGAGCCCAATCCTTAAAAACTGAAACATCTCAATGACTACCAAAATGAAGGTTCTGAAATGCTATGTATAGTCAACCCTTCTTTATGGCTGTAAATGCTGGACAATCACTCAAGACAGTGAAAATAATATAGAAACAACAGAAATCAAATGAGGTAAAGCTATGATGAAACTCACGTGAGACCCTCATTAAAGATATTTTTAAAAAAGTTTTAGTAGAGGTTTTATGGCACTCGCAAACTGCATACGGTCATATGAGCTCCAGAAGATTAACGGTGTTACAAGAGAGTAACAAATATAAAAAAGAAGAAGGGGAGATAAGGATGATAGACGTTTGATAATATAAGAAGCAAACCACACCAGAGCACCCGCCAACCACCCACAGATGCTCACTGTTAAAAACAACCAGGAAACGACAAAATGCAGTTTTTAGGACACCTGAATAGACATAAAAGTCTGGAATATCTAGCTCTCACTGGCAACGTTGAAGACAAACGAAGCAGAGGTAGGCCCAGAGCAACCTTCTAAGGGAACCTAAACAGTTGGGTAACGGTGAAAGATAAGGGAAACGTAGCGTATTTAAGAGCATCCGAGCAAAGGAATGAAAGGAGAACCATGATCGTCGTTGTCTGTCACAGATCTGGCACTGAATGATAATGATGATGATTGTTCGTTCAAAGAAATTATGTTAATAACTTTCTTTTTTTATGCCTCAGTTGACATTAAAACTGACATTGTTTGAGAAAAATTGATTTTGTGACCCCTGTTATTGTTTTTCTCAAGTCTTGGATACAAAATAGGGTATCAATTGACAAAAAAGGTTTTAAGCTCTCCCAATCCCCCCTTTCCAGAAAAAAACTCTTAAAAACGATTAAAATTGTCTAAAGTGAAAAAAAAAATGATTCCTTTAATTATTTAATGGGCTGTTTGTGTTTAGGCCGTTGGAATCTAAATCGTAAGATTGTAGGTTCGAATCCTGTCAGGCGTCCTACATTGGGTACTTGGGAAAAGCACTTCTTCTTCTTCTTCTTCTTCTTCTTCTTCTTCTTCTTCTTCTTCTTCTTCTTCTTCTTCTTCTTCTTCTTCTTCTT